TTCTTCTTCCGAACTGCTTCCTGGAACTCGGATATTCTCCTGTATTGGAAAGCTAACCTTAACGGCTACAATCTTCCAGGTCCGGTTCCTTAGGAGAAGAGCGAAGTCGTGGGAAAGTCCAGAGTGTTATGAACAATGTATTCTATACAGAAGGCTTGGAGGATAGTTAGGAGGAAGTTGCCACTCGGGCTGTCATGGCGTTCAACCGTGAGGGCCATGTGAGAGCGCGGGGTCATCACAAAGGCCAACAACACTCCCTGCGTCCACTCGCGGTCGAGGCGGATTCCGGTGTGTGTATGTTCAGTGCGAGAATTTTCACAAGGGCCCAGAGCAAGCTTTGTGTGAATCAGCCACAGGGTGATGATTGGCCTAACCAGTCTGGAGCGCGCATGTGCGTCCCAGACGCGCAAGGGCAAAGGTTGCGCGTCGCACGCGAACATGGGCCAATGCGCTGGATCAAGCGCGGCTAGACGACCAAGATTGCCATTTCGTGGCCTCGTCTGTGGCTTGTCGCGTTAGGAGAAGGTGGGATGCAGAACCACTAAAATTTCTCTGCGAAAGGTAGGAAAATTTTTCAGGTATATTTTCTACGCTGGTTCCATAGGTCGTCGTCGTCATCGTCAGATGTTGAGTAAATGTGCGAAAAACAGTTAAGCTTTCAAAAATGTTCTTAAAAATCAATGCGCGTTCAGCGTCTGCGCCAATCAGCAACTGTCTGATGCGTCATTCTGTATTAATTGGTTCTCATCTCTTCCATCTGCCCCAGAGGAGTTTTTACACGGTATATAAATCAAAGTGTCGATTGATTTATGACTCTCAGAGCGCATGGCTTCAGGAGGGTCCACGTTTTTTGAAGGAGCAGGCTACGCGACGGAAGTTTTGTCTCAGGCGAGGTTGTGCCCCGTATCTACGGCATACATGCCATTGGCGACAGGTGAGCTCGCCTTTTGGCTGCTTATTGATAATCTTGGGTACGTGTACAGGCGGACCTTCCAGCTTACCGCAGCATTGTAGCCGGCGCCCAACATTGCTGTGTCCAGCTTCCGTGTTGAAGGCCAGCTGCCCCAATGTCATCCACTATCACAGCAAGCGCTTGCAGACGCGCTGATCCACAGAGACTTGACCGACTTCCACTAGGATATACACACACGTGAGTCCAAGTAGTCGCGGCTGCCCAAGCGCCACTTGAACATGTACCTTTCTCCCACGCGCGGCCGACACAGCCCAAGTCACCAGACACGAACCCCTCGGGTAATGTCACACACACCAATTGGAGAACACTTGAACCTGCTGCCACCACTGTCTCATTCTTTCTCAGACGTGACCGGACACAGGCAACACTAGCCCTGGCTTCGCCAGTGGTCACTGCCGCCCGAGACTGCAAAATACGATTCTGTGCACAATAAAGCACTCACTCTGGTGACTCTTGCCCTTTACCTACTACTGGAGATTTGGCCTGAAGATTGTAGCATTCTAAGTACAATCAGTAGCTAGACCCCTACAAATTGTAGACCCTGACATGATCTCGACAATGGATGCCGGTGTACTTAGCTGTACTGAAAATTCAGTAAAATGTTCAGTTTGGATAGAATTGTATACAGCAAGTTAGATTAGGTTCGAGTATTCTGCATATGAGTTGACTTTAGATTAAGTGAAATAGAGAATAAACGCATCCCCTGTTTACGAGATTATATTCGATAAAAAGAACTTTGTACAGATTACATTACTTCAATGAACGAGCAGATTCTGCAGCCAATCCTCAAAAATGTGTTGTAGGGTCGGATTTGCCGAAGGTTTTAGGCATTGCTTACGTCAGAGAAAAAGCAAGTTTCAATGGTCAGCAGTCAGATGAGATTGTCGTGTGACATTTCGCAATATAATTCAAGTCCGTCATCAAAGAAAGCCCCGATTAGGATGGATTGGCGCAGTATTATGGTGCACTATTAATGGGCTGTGGTTGGCAAGCAACTGCATATCTATCACAATTAGAAGCCCTGACTTTTATCACTGATGGTCATATTAAGTGCATTGATGGCCTTGTGACCCATAGTTGAATCATCAACTGACGTGATTTCTTCCAAAAGTGCTACTTATTGACAGGATAATGACCGAGTGCTTTGGATTACTGACAAGGTTGATCTATGCGCTCCGTTGAGTCACCAATCAGTTTTACCATGTAAATTCCGAGGACTGAATACGGAGGGGTAGGTCATTGAGCCTGTTGTTGAAATGGGGGCTAAATAATCTCGGCGCAAGTAGTACACTCGAGCCTCGTCAGTAGCCGCACAGCGGTTAGTGATGTAGGCAGATGAGCAACGGCACAACAGCGACCCCGTCAGCAAGTCGCGGATTCGAATCTCGGGTGGAGCTCCACCTGCAGTTGGCTATGACTGGTTGGTGACGGCTAGTGCACCAGAACTGGCCGTTCCAGTCTCCCTTCTCTTAGCCGGCCATACTATCAGTCTAAGCTATTAGCGAGACACCATAGATGAGGTCTCGCAGTGGCAATCATGGTCGCCCAGTCGCGCTCGATCCAGCGCAATGTCCCATGACCGCGTGCGACGCAGAACCTTTGCCCTCGCGCGAATGGGGCGCACACACGCACTCCAGACTGGTTGA